GCTGTTAATCAAAACTGTTAAGCTATTAAGCTGTTAATCAAAGCTGTTAAGCTGAAGCTGTTAAGCCGAAGCTGTTAATCAAAGCTGTTAATCAAAGCTGTTAATCAAAACTGTTAAGCTATTAAGCTGTTAATCAAAGCTGTTAAGCCGAAGCTGTTAAGCCGAAGCTGTTAATCAAAGCTGTTAAATTAAATTTTTTTAGAGGAACAATTTGATGAGAAATGAAATGCTGAACTTTGCTCGACCAATCACTAACAACAAAAATCGATTGACGTACGGATTGCAGAAAGAAACGGGTTACTGATTTTGTTTTACTGAAACTTTGATTCTAAGTTAGCTAACAAGCTATCGATGAACATTCTACCGTAACCCTATCGTTTTAAGAGTCATTCTACTATCAACAGAGGGCACAAATACGAAACGGACAAGTGATGGGTGGAAATCGTGGAAGCTATGGACAGTATGCGGTGGCTCCTGTTAAGCAAGGTTTGACTTGACGTAGCTCGACTGTGAATACCGTAATCTTGGCTTGAAAACTGCGTAATTCCGAAATGAGTTGAAAATTACCATAATAGCTTAACAAAATGTAGAATTAGCATCAAAAATATAGCCAAATTTGAGGCAAAAATTGATCCCAAAATTTTGGGCATAGTGACACCGAAAACACGGCTAACCGCGACCTCACCTATAAGGGGGCGTCACGCCGTTGGGCATTCGAAGCAGCGTTGGTGTGGGGGATAGTGCGCGAACACCGGAGCCTACCCCAACTTTGCTCACGGGTTCAATTCCGCTTGGCTCCAGATTTTTTACTTTTTTTGGAAAGCTTCCGAAAAACACTTCTTTATGATTATTCTAGTGTTTTTAAAGAAGTAATTAGCTATTTATTAAGGTTTTTCCATAACTTTCAAAAACATTTACGGGTGCTTTACTGGGCATAGTGGCATGGGGATTTGGGGATTTGACGCCTAAAACGAAGATGCCGGCTCAGTCGCTCATCGCTCCTTTCCCTTTACGGATTCAAAAAGGGAAGCATCATATACCGGAGCGGTTTGCCAGATAGCAAGCGATTGCGCGTTCGCACAAAGAACACCTCGCCAGCCACTCTACAGTGATTTTTCTTTTGCTTTGTAAGTGATGCAAAAAGAAGTATTCAGCAGTAAATTTGTACCCGGGGGCAAAATGGCTTTTTTTATTTGTTTCACCTCATCATCGTCAAACCATCCTTCATCGAACGCCACCAAATTATCCTCATCGAGTGCTGGCAGATTAGGTCGATTAGAGCTATTCATTTTGTTGAGTCTACCAATTAATTGGTCGAAAATTTAGACATATTCAGAATTTTTTTAGCTTATCTTGGAGAGAAGATTCACAGCTTTCAAATGATATATAATAAACATAAGTCCACATTTATTTGAAAGCTACGGCAACGTAAAACTTATCACAATTATTAAAACTTGTGGCCAAAGGTACGATAAAACTCAGCCTTACTAGGGAACGTCGTTTTCCGTTTTCAGTTTTTGCCCTGGATGCCTATAACGCGACATATCTGGGTTACAAGTTTCAGGCCTCCTTACTTGAGTTCATTTTTCGCAACAGCTCTAAGTAGGGACGTGATGCATCATCAAAGATGCCGACTAGGGATCCAAAGCGCTCTGGCTCGATCCTCGGTCAATTTCTTTTGATTTTTTTAATCTGGCCCAATCTTGGATGGAGTTCGTCTCGTTTTAAAAACTCACAGGCACCTAGCGACGTTCCCTAGTTAGCGTTCCTTCAGTGGTACAGTAACATCGACTACAGTAACCTGTGCTCTAGCAAGAGCTGGTCTACAGTATCCCTCTCTGATTGTAATTAGTCTAATTAGAGGCCAAAATGTAGTAGGACCCAGCTTACAGTATTGCCCTGAACTGCTTCTTCTAGTAGCCGCTGTAGATCCAAGGCCAATTTCTTCTCCTCCCGATTTGCCTTTACAATATCCAGTATCGACAAATCCAACTATAGTATTATAGTGACAAATAATAAATGCGAATTTTCAGACGCATACGGACAATCAGCTGTCGATCACAGTGCCAGCTATCCGGCAATCGCCCGTCCTCAGCGTCCCCAATTGCCCTCAATCCAAGGCTCGGCGTACGGGCAACTGCTGCCCTACAAAAATCCCGGAAATCCCTACATAAATGGATATTCGACGACAGTCGGAACACCATACGGCCAATACAAAACCCGTCAACCTACGCAAACCGGCTATAACGAGCTGCCGGTTTCATCGCTTTCCCGTTTGTACAGCTTGAGACCCGACGAGATTTACACTCGGCCAACCGTTAACCCTGGGAATTCTTATGCTTTCACTCAAGCTCCTTCAACAAATCGGCCAACACTGGTAACGATAAATCCGAATATCGAATTGAATACAAGATCGACGATTGAAGAGCACTTGCCAACCACTGCAGTCACCGATTTTTCGGCCACTCCCGAGCCAACACAAAGCGCCAACACGATCACTCTCACTCCGCAAGCGTTTCAGCTGGAAAATATTGAGGAATTGAAAAGATCAAAGAAAATCGTCTAAAATTTTGCTTTGCTTTTTGCTTTTTTTGAAATTTCTGTACTTTTTCTGTGCTCTGAAGTTTTTGATTTTAAAAAGGTGATTTTAAACGTTTTTTTTCGATACAAATGTGCATTCGATGTGCAAAAAAGACAAATTTTATATAAACATTAAAAAAGTGTACATCTGAGGGTTTATAGTGTTCCGTTTTGAGCCTAATTGCATTTTAAGATTTACTCTGATTACATATGCACAAGAAAATCCATAGCAAAAAAGTGAGGCGATATTTGGCTATTTTTTTTTGATCAGATCTCTAGCGATTCTACAAAGAAAAGTGGATACGAATATGTGCAAAAAAAAACAATTTTATTGGGTTTTCCAGTTATGAATGCGCGTTTTTTACTATTTGGTAAATTTCTCAAGATACCGAAATCAAGAAAAAGATATATCTGAGTATTATTCGAAAACTGAAGATCTCCTCTACATTTTGATATAAAAAGTTTTTGAATTTGTTCAGCTTTTGGGAAAATTGACTGCACAGAAGAAGAGGTGGCCAAAAAATGGAATGTGCCTTTGGATCAAATTTTGGCTCCGCTCAAATTGAGTTAACTGTTTGATGTTTGGCCAATAGATATATCAATACAACTTTTTTTAAAATATAACAATTTCAGATCATCTTTACTTTTCTTTTCTTTTCTGGGCGGTTATTTTACACCATAAAACTTGAGGAATAGCTAAGCTGAAATGGGTTTTTTCGAAAACGATCTCTCCCTTTGTGCAGTCAATTTCCCAAAAAGCTGAATGAATTCAAAAACTTTTTTATTTCAAAATGTAGAGGAGATCTTCAGCTTTCGAATGATATATAACACTCATATACATCTGTCCGATATCTTGAGAAACTAACAAAATCGTAAAAACGCGCATTCATAACTGGACAACCCAATAGAAGAGGCAAATGATGAGCTAAACGGTACACTGGACACGATTTAAGCGCTTTATTCGAGAAAGAATCAATTTAAAACCTAAGAAAGCTTTTTAAGCAATTTTTTTTTTGATTTCAAAGCCTGCTTTTATCCGACTCTCGACCGGATAGCTGTTAAGACTTGCCCTGGCTACTTTAACCAACAATAAATTTACAAAATAGTAGAAACGCGCATTCATAACTGGACAACCCAATAAAATAAAAGAATACGAAATACAAACAAAAGAATAAAGAAATAGGAAAAATTCTATTGGATTGGTGAATTGAAAAGTGCCAGCTATTTCGCAGATAAAAAACAACAGCATTGAACAATTGAACCAGCTGAAAGGGCGTTTGGTTACTTCAACATTTCCCCAAATTATTGCAAAAAAATTATGCTTTCAGCTTTTTATTTTTTGGTATTTTTCTTCACTTCTCGCTCCACGGCCCTCTGCATCTTTGATGTACTTCTCGCTCCACGTTCTTTGACTTGGAGGGCCTATTCTTCTTCAGGGATTCATTCACTGTTCACTGTATTTGATTGCATTAACGGTCGTCTTGCGATCCAGCAACTCTCAGTACACCACTCCCTCCATATCCCAGAAAACGCAGGGCATAAACTTCTTCTGGTGCAAATCAGGCTTGGGGTCACTTTCGGGTTTCTCGCCTGGCCCCACCCATTGCCGCTTGCTCCGAAAGTTCACAGATGAAACCCATTTCTCATCTCCTGTCACAATTCGAGAAAGAAAGGATTTCCTTTCGTATCATGAGAGATGGACGGCACTGATGGAGGCGCGCTGCCACTTCTGGGGGTCAGTGAGGGCACCCAAGTCCCAAATTTCGATTTAAATCCATGGGTATGAAGGTGATTTAGCACTGTAACATGATCAACCCCTAACTCTTCTCCCAATTCACGCGATGATACTCGATGGTCGTTGGTAATGAGTTCGAGTAATTTGGAATCATCCAGTTGGGGTGCCGCTCCACCGGTCCTCTGCATCTTTCAAAGATTTGTCCCCAGATCGAAACTTGGCAAACCATACTCGAAACGTTCTTTCGGAAGGTGGGTCCTCCTCATACATCTTTTTAATATTAGCAGCTGCCAAGCCTGCACTGTGCTCTTGTAGGAACTCATGAAGCAGCTTTACTAGGTGCTAGCTTTACTAGGAACTCATGAAGCAGCTTTACTAACTCATGACATGACGAGTATGTCCCGGTGGCAGATTGTCGAGTACAATAGAAGAAGTGAAGAAAAATACCAAAAAATAAAAAGCTGGAAGCATAATTTTTTCGCAATAATTTGAGGAAATGTTGAAGTAACCAAACGCCCTTTCAGCTGGTTCAATGCTGTTGTTTTTTTATCTGCGAGTCCCGCGAAATAGCCGGCAGTTTTCAATTCACCAATCCAATACCTGTAAAAGCAATTTCTGAACCGATATTTAAACCTGACATCACAAAATTTTTGTCACAACCGATCTTCTTTCGATCAACTTTCTATTCGGGTACCGGCGGAATCTAAAATTGATTTCAATAGGATTTTAATTGTTTACAGTTATTCAGAAGAGTTCTTTTTTTGAAGACTAAACCAACCACCCAGTATTGCCATCTGGCGACAAAGCTGAATTGTTGCACTGGTAGATCGAGCGGCTAAAATGTTGACGAGTATAAAATGGTGCTGACTTTAAAAGATTTTACTGGAATAAAAGCTCTGTCAGCTCCGAGTCAAACTGATATTTTAGTTACTATTGTTATTATTGAATGATTTGTCTATTCTTATGCAAATGTGTCCTCCCCTGTGCTTATCCCTTTTATTGCCGAGAAGGGGCGCTCCTTGGGATTGCCTAGGAGGACAGTGAGGAGCCTAGAAGGACAGTGAGGAGCCTAGGAGGACAAGTGAGGAGCCTAGGAGACTCTCAAGTGAGACTCTCATTTGGAGTCCCCCCTTCCCCTTACACTCATTTGCAATCTATTTGTCTTATTGTACTACTGTAAATAAAGATACATATCTTCTATGCAACTGCAGTTCAGGTCGATCATTTCACAGGGGCTCCCCTCTAATACGTTGGAGGAGTTGAGTTGGGTTGTCGGGGTGTTAGAGATGGCGGGATATCAAAAGGGATCCACTCTCTTTAACTTAACCCAAATTCTAGTCCACATCCGTTTATACCTAGGAACGAATAGCTCCATATTGTTTGTATAATCAAAAAGATCTATCATTTCTCTACAAAATGGCTTACAAAATGGCAAAATGGCTTTTTTATTTGTTTCACCTCATCATCGTCAAACCATCCTTCATCGAACGCCACCAAATTATCCTCATCGAGTTCTGGCAGATCATTTTGCACCTAAATATATAAGATTACAATATAGAGTAGACATGTCCGTTTTCAGTCAGTCCCTTCGTCAATAGATGTACAACGGAAATTCAAGACTTGAGCCTTTTAAAATATTTTTCAAACCTTTTTTCACCATTAGATAGATGTAAAATGCTATCCAACAGTAAAAAAAACATTAATTAGTTGATCGAAAAGAATAAAAAGGTTGATTCTAAAAGACTTAAGATGTGTATTTCCGTTGTACACCTATCGACGGACCGAAAATGCAAATGTCTAGTATAGAGCATTCTAGAAAACCCATTAATTGAAAACTTGAAAACGTTAAACGTTTAGACACAATGAAAACACATTCACATTAAACGTTAGTCAACGATTTCTTACCAAGTCAATGTTTTCTTGTAGTTGTGGCCTTTCCTCGGCGATAGGTGCGGCAGGCAAGCCATCATTCTCTTCCTAAACCCACATTAACACATTCGCAAGATTTTGAGACATTTGATAATGCTTTCTTTATCGCCGCCTTCTTCCATTGGCAAGCCAACTTTGAACTCAAACATCTTGGTGTTGAGCTGTTCAATTTAAATCGGTTTTGTACCAATCAACAGAGAAAAACTTGGTGCATCTAATGATATCAAGAATATTTCAATTGGACAACCAAACAGCAAGATATTTGAGCTCAAAGTTAGATTGCTAATGGCAAAGGAAGCGGGGCGATGGACCTTTTATACGCGCCCCGCCCCTTTTCCCTTTAGCAAGCCAACTTTGAGCTCTAGAAAGAAATTCTAGAAAACCCATTAAATCAAAAACATTAAACGTTTAGACACAATGAAAACACATTCACATTAAACCTTAGTCAACAATTTCTTACCAAGTCAATGTTTTCTTGTAGCCTTTCCTCGGCGATTGGTGCGGCAAGCAAGGCATCATTCTCTTCCTAAACCCACATTAATACATTCGCAAGATTTTGAGTCATTTGATAAACGCCCGCCTTCTTCCATTGGCAAGCCAACTTTGAGCTCAAATATCTTGGTGTTGGGCTGTTCAATTGAAATAGTTTTTGTACCAATCGATAGAGAAAGACTTGGCGCATCCAATGTTATCAAGAATATTTAAATTGAACAGCTCAACACCAAGATATTTCAGCTTAAAGTTAGCTTGCTAAAGGGAAAAGAGGCGGTGCGTGTATCAAACGTCCGATAACCCATTCGCAAGTATTTTGGGCGTACAGTCGCGTAGTCGTCACTGTTTTACTGATAATTTGGTGCCAATTCAAAGATAAACTAAACTATTGTAGTCATTCGATAGCCCCGAATCTCCTCTTGAAAACTAGTATAAAGTTATCAAGAACTTTCTGCGAAATGAATAACAAAATCCTTAAAAACGAATTGAAAGCAAAAATAATCGTCATTAGTAGGAGTTAAAGAACTTTTTATGTATCCAACCGATAAATCAGACATCCAATCAGCAAGACTCGGCTCGAGAGATTCAGCGTGTACAATTTGATTACTTGGTTGAATCTGAAAAGGAGTTGTTTTAAAGGTTTAAAAGTTTAAAGGTGTACAGAAAAGGTTTACCCTCAATGCGTTTGGATTGTCCAATGGTTGATCGGGATATCCCTGAAATTGGATTTTTAATGTTAAATTGAATGGATCCTCGCAAATAAAGGGTTTTTTTCTGAAAGGTGGATAACTCCTAAAAATAAGTAATCTTTCTTTTCGTCATTATGTTTCTTTGGATAGCCCAACATCAAGATATTCGAGTTGAAAGTTAGATTGCTAATGGCAAAGGAAGCGGGGCAACGGACCTTTTATACAGGGTGGGTCATAATTATTGCAACAAGATACTCAAGGCATTGCACACCAGAAGTTTCACTGGAAGAAGATTTTTAAACAGAAATAGCTTTATTTAACAGTAACAAATAAGGAAACAAGAGATCATTCGATATGACCGCCTTTTGCCTTGATAACAGCCTTGATAACAGCCCTTAATCGGTTCGGATATGCCTCCACTGCGGCCCGAATGTCATCTTGAGGAGTCGCCTTCCATCCTTTGGTCAAATCATCCTTTGTGTTTTCGAGAGCAGACATTAGCCTCTAAGATTGCCCAAATGGAAAAGTCCATCACATTGAGATCCGGTGAGTTTGGAGGCCATTCATCCTTGGTGATCACTGAGGGGAAGTTGGCCACACACCAATCCTGAACCGTCTTCTTCGTGTGAGCGGGAGCTCCATCTTGTATGAAGGTCCAATTTTGATTGTTATTGGCTTTACACGCCCATGACATCACATTCTTGACATCACAAACGGTCTTTGAACTCTTGTTGCAATAATTATGACGCACCCTGTACTTGCCCCGCCCCTTCGTCATTGACGATCCAGCTTTCAGCTCGAATTTCTTGGTATTGGGCTGCCCAATTTAAATAGTTTTGGTACCAATCGATAGCGAAAGACTTGACGCATCTGATGATACCAAGAATATTTAAATTGGATAGCCCAACACCAAGATATTTCAGCTCAAAGTTAGATTGCTAATCTAACCTTCTTCCCTTGACGATCCAGCTTTCAGCTCGAATTTCTTGGTATTGAGCTGCCCAATTTAAATAGTTGTTGTACCAATCGATAGCGAAAGACTTGGTGCATCCAATGTTGTCAAGAATATTTAAATTGGATAGCCCAACACCCAACACCAACTCCGAAAACCAAGTAATCTTTCTTTACGTAATTATGTTTCAATTCATAAATAAAACGGTGAATTTAATGAAATCACAAGTAAGTAGAACGAAAAATCTGAAGAAAAGCTTCAAATTATCCACCTTTATGCTGAGTTTATGAAAACTTGTTAGAACCTGAAAGAAAAATTTCAAAAACCAACCGTCCATTGTTCGATCGTCACAAAGATACGAAAGAAATGATGTGCCACATCGAAATTTCCAAAAGTTGTCTGAATCCTCTGGAAAATCTCTGTTTCTATAAAATTTCTCAACAAACCAAAGCAGTGAAACAATGGATTGCGTCTAAATTGATCGAGATATGTCGGGCAGCCACTGCATCATCGGCCACCTAGAATGCTTTCAAACTTTAACGTCGGCGTAAAGTCGCGTAGTCGTTACAGTTCTACTGATAATTTGGTGTAAATTCAAAGATAAACTAAACTATTCTAGTCATTCGATAGCCCCGAATCTCCTCTTGAAAACTAGTACAAAGTTGTCGAGAACTTTCTGCGAAATCGAATTAATTTAAATGTAGAAATGAATGTGCAAATGTGTTAAAAAGATCAATAAACAAACCACTGATTCTGCTCGTTCGACATTTAAATCATTTTCCTGAAAATATATTATAGAAAATATATGAAATTTCTGATTTTAACTTAAAAGCTTACACTTTCAACTTCAAACTACCGTTCACTTTCAAATTGACGTTTAAAAAGCTTAAGCTTAAAGCTCAAAGCCTAAAAAGCTTAAATTAAAGCTTAAAAAGCTTAAATCGAGTCTTAAAAAGCTTAAGAAGCTTAAATTGAGTCTTAAAGAGCTTAGAAAGCTTAAATCAAAGCTTTAAAAGTTTAATTGAAGCTTTAAAAGCTTAAGATTAAAGCTTAAAGCCTAAAAAGCTTAAATTAAAGCTTAAGAAGCTTGAAAAGCTTAAATTAAAGCTTAAAAAGCTTAAATTGAGTCTTAAAGAGCTTAGAAAGCTTAAATCAAAGCTTTAAAAGTTTAATTGAAGCTCTAAAAGCTTAAGATTAAAGCTTAAAGCCTAAAAGCTTAAATTAAAGCTTAAGCTTTTAAGCTTTAAAAGCTTAAGCTTAAAGCTGAAAAAGCTTAAATTGAGGCTTAAAGAGCTTAGAAAGCTTAAACTGAAGCTTTAAAAGCTTAAAAAGCTTAAATTAAAGGCTTTTCAAAATCTAGATCTAACAATGAATGCTATTTTTAATGAACTCACGTCAAAATTAGCCCAGCTGACGAAGATTTCAGAGAAATTGCCCGCGTTTTCATTGATGCGAGTCTAAAACGAAGAAAACTATCGGGTTTAGAGTTAGTTATATTAGGTTGGAAAGTTCTCGAAAAAATTTTGACTAGAATTTCTTCAAAAACGAATCCACCAATTCCCGAACATTTTGTTCTATTATTTACAAGTGGATTCCAAGAAATTACTAGTAAAAAAATGAGTGCAGTCCCTTAAAATTTGAGATTTCTGAGGGATGATTATTTTCCAGCTTAAATTTAGCTTTTTGCACGAGAAAAGGGATTCCTTATGAGGTAAAGCTATCATAAATGCTAGCTTTACCTAGCTAGCACCTAGTAAAGCTAGCACCTAGTAAAGCTATCACCTAGTAAAGCTAGCACCTAGTAAAGCTAGCAACTAGTAAAGCTAGCAACTAGTAAAGCTAGCAACTAGTAAAGCTAGCAACTAGTAAAGCTAGCAACTAGTAAAGCTAGCACCTAATAAAACCTAACGCACCATGCACCGTAAAGCGCACCTGCTGCACTAAGTGCACTAAGCTAGCACCGTAGTGCACCTAAAGCTAGCACCTAGTAAAGCTAGCAATACTCTCTATCATCTCTATTTTTGGCCAACAAGTTTTTGACAGAGATGCTGTATCTCAGAAAAATAATCTTTTCGTGTCATCTTCTTGGCACTGAGTGTTTGCTAAAATAAGTGCTTCTGAAAAGTTGCTTTAAAGATTTAAGCTTTAAACTTCTAATTTAATCTAATGCTTTATTAGATTAAATTTGCCTTAATCACAAATTTTCCCTATTTTAAGTACTTGATTTTAGGTTTTGAATGGGATTCATTGCCTATTCATTAACATTAAACTAGTCAAAAGGCTGGCCACTCAGAAAGTGACCAAGTCACTTCAGCTGGAGAAATCTCTTATTTTTTACCTGAAGCTTACTCTGATTTTTTTATCAAAAATCTTTTGAAATAGTCAAGTTTATCAAAAAATGAAAAGAATTCATGGTTTTGTTTTTGAGAAATCACCGTACAAACTTTTTCCGAGAACTTTCTTTTCAACCTAATAGTATTTTGAGTTGTAGTTATAGGTTAGGTTATAGTTATGGCTTAGGCTTAGGCTTAGGCTCAGGCTCAGGCTCAGGCTTAGGCTTGGACTTAGTGCGAAGGCTAGCGTGCGAAGGCTTTATCAAAAATCTTTTGAAATAGTCAAGTTTATCAAAAAATGAAAAGAATTCATGGGTTTGTTTTTGAGAAATCACGTGCAAACTTTTTTCGAGAACTTGCTTTCAACCTAATAGTATTTAGAGGTATAGGTTATAGGTTATAGTTATAGGTTATAGTTATTGATTGTAGTTATAGCTTTGTATCTATAGTTGGAAGAATCCGTTTTAAGTACCTCTTGAAAAGCATTGAACTCTTGATCGGGCATTTTTCTGTGTTATGGTCAACTTTGTTTGGCGGCTTTGTGTAGATCGACAGTCAAATTTTTCATCTCCTGAAAATCCCATTTTACATTAAACACTTTTTTCTGGCGAGATTGAGGCAAGGAGCGATTTTCGAGTGTTGATGGCCAATCTTTGATCGATCTTTTACTGTTTAATTTCCAAATAAAAGAATTTTTCCTTATTTTTATGAGTTCATTGAAATCTCATGCCTCCTATGAAGCTTCTAATATTTATCGCAAGAAAATTTTTGGGAAAATATCGTAGCAGTTTATGAGTGTGAAGAGATCGAGAGAACGGGATAAGAAGCGATAAGAAATTTATGGGCAACTAGTGAATCGTTTACAGGATGTCAATTTAATCAAAAATTTGACTTTATCTTTTTAAAAACTAGACGATTTCTATAGATTCTCTTTCTTGTTCTTTGCTACAATCTTATTGCACGGTTTAGGTTCGATCAAAAGCAATGATATTGAGTTTGAAATGAGTCGTGGAAGAATCATTTACAGACGACTCTCTCTCTTACGGAACTCTATATAACGGAATGGAATTTTGGCTAAGCTAAGTCCACGCTAAGCTAAGTCGACGCTAAGCTAAGCTAAGTCGACGCTAAGCTAAGCTAAGTCGACGCTAAGCTAAGCTAAGTCGACGCTAAGCTAAGTTGACGCTAAGCTAAGCTAAGTCGACGCTAAGCACGGCACTCTACAGGATGTTCAAAAAAAGCCAGTTCCCTTTACTTTTCCAAAAAATATCTTGTGGCTCCTGATGATCGTTGTAGTGCCAAAGAGAATACCGTATTCTCTCTAATAGTAGTGCACCCCAGCGAGCCGAGTTGATGACTATTTTACGGTTTCCAAGCTTTTGCAGAAGCTCAACACTCAAACCCCCCACTAGATCTGATCGTCAGCTACATTTTCCGACCCCACATCGATAGGTTCTGATAAGCGGTTTTTGAGATTTCGAGCAATTTAGACGACGCTCAGGGTGCACTACTATTAGAGAAAATACGGTAAGCGTTTTTAATGGCTGCAGTTTATGCAGCAAGCCAACCCGTAGTTTAATTTGACGGGCACGGTGCGTTTCATTGCTCTGCGCTTGGGATAACTCCGAACCAGCAACCAACCGAGCTCAATCAAAACCGAAACGCAACTCAGACCAACCGAGCTGCTTACCTTGGCAGATCGGACGGGATGCCGTGTTTCAACGTGGCGAGAATTTACTATTAGAGAAAATACGGTATTCTCTTTGGCACTACAACGACCATCAAGAGCCACCAGAAATTTTTTGGAAAATTAAAGGGAACTGGCTTTTTTTTTGAACACCCTGTATAACGGAAGAATTTTTTGGTTCCTTCTAGAGAGAGACAACTGTAAATGGATAGCTTCATACGATTCACTGACCCTAAAAACCCCCGGTACAAATTTCCAGCTGATTTCTTTTTGTACCATCTACAAAGCAAAAGAAAAACCACTATAAAGTGACTAGAGAGGTGTTCTTTGTGCGAACGCGCAATCCACTTGCCATCTGGCATAGGACACTGATATAAAAGGTTTCTAATTTGGAATTTGAACTTTTAACCTTACGACGTGCTCTCTAATGCTTTTTTCTTTTTAAATTGCTTATTGTTAGCTATTTTTCTGACTATAAGATGCCCATCGATCCGATTTGAATAAAATCAATAAAATAACTTTCAATTTTCCCCATTCTCTTATCAGCAACCTTTTTTGGGTTTAAGAATCGAAAGAAGCCCGTCATTTCGGTGATAAACCGTTAGTAAATAGGTGTATTGGGAAATCTTTGCTGGAAATAGCGATTACGAAATCGAATCGGAAATGATACAGCAAAACAATAAGAATAAAAAAATGAGAAATTTGTTTTTATTTTTGCAAATCAAATTTTTCAAATCGCGACTAGTACAAAAGTTTTTTTTTCTGTGATTTCATCATTTCTAACGTTTCTTGCACAATGAACGCCTATTATTTCCATTTTTTAAGCTTATTCTTTTAAAATAAACCATCTAAGATTAAAAAAATTTGAATTTTTATTAATAAAAAAAGAAAAAAGTCCTTAAATTTAAAACTTGCCTTTTTCAAAATAAATCCGGACTATTAGTCAATAAGGAAAGCGAGAAAGAAGTCTGTGAAATGGCTTATCTTTTCTTAAAAAAACCCTGCCGCTGTTCCCCTCTCGCTTCTCTTTTCCCAAATTTTCTCTGTGCCTCCGAGAAAATGGATTGAAAATGAGAAAAATGAGAAAAATGTGTGTTTGGGTGGGTGTTTTTCTTTTGTAAAGCGTCACATTTCTCGAGTGTTCATGGAAATTTGCAAAAAAAAATTTATTCCGACTAGTTGGAGCACAAAGTGAAGAAGTGGGCAATGAAATGATTTACCGTATTTCTTCGAATAGAAGACCGGGTAAAGAGTATTATCGCGTACTCCTGCGTAGCAGCCCTTTTTAAAATTTCTTTTTGCATAAAAGCTTTCATTCAAGTGCTATAGAGCTGGAAAATGGCTCAAAAATCTGTTAGTGAATGTGGTATTTTTGAGCCATTTTCCAGCTCTATAGCACTTGAATGAAAGCTTTTATGCAGAAAAGAAATTTTAAAAAGGGCTGCTATGCAGGAGTACGCGATAATACCTTTACCCGGTCTTCTATTCGAAGAAATACGGTAAGTGAACTGGTGAATTGCACTGCATTGCTCGCAAAAAAAAATATCATCCATTCAACTGTTTATATCAAATTCTCATAGAGAAATTCATTTTTTAGTGCATTAGGTGTCCGCATTAGGTGCAAAAGTTTACATGAAGCCATCAAAGTTTCCCATAATGGTCTCATTTAGTAACGAAAACATTTGTTAGTCTTTTTTGCGGCCAATTTCAGTTTTTTTGTGTTTTTCTCAGCATTAACCAGCAATTTGACTATTTAAACTATGATTCGATGCAGAATAAAATTGCGCGTCGAATGATACCAAAATGAGCTCAAAATGTAATACCCACGCAAAGTTATGAGGCAAAAACCTAAGCGGGGGATTGTGGGCTTAAGGTGGACGGGGCTTAGCCTAAGCCCCACCTATCTTAAGCCCCACCTATCTTAAGCCCCACCTATCTTAAGCCCCACCTATCTTAAGCCCCACCTATCTTAAGCCCCGCTTATCTTAAGCCCCGCTTATCTTAAGCCCCGCTTATCTTAAGTCCCGCGCATCTTAAGTCCCGCTCATCTCAAGCCCCGCTCACCTTAATGGGCGTGGTTTAGGTTTCTAGCCAATAACTTTGCATGGATATTATATTTTGCCTTAATTTTGTTATCATTCGACGCGCAATTTTATTCTGCATCGGACCATAATTTAAATAGTCAAATCCGAAGGGTTAATGCTGAGAAAAACACGACAAAACTTAAATTGACCACAAAAAAGACTAGCAAAATGTTTTCGCTGCAAGTTCTAGTAAGTGTTGTACAACGACAACGTACAATAAAGTAAAACGAAAAAAAGGCTTAATGTTGAGTGTACAAAAGTTCTTTTGGCTTGAAAACACCAATTCGATAGACCCGTTTGAAAAGCACAAACAAAAAATGATGAATTATGACCCGTAAATGCATAGAGCAACTTGAAAATTGAAAATGATCATTGACAATGATCACTAAACATAAGTCATCGAATGAGTTTCACCAAGATTTCCCCTTTCGTGTTGAGCGCTGGCCTCTCCTCTGAAAAATCGGTTTTGCAAAATCATTTTTGCAATCTTTAAATCAATTTTGTGCTTATGGATATGATATTTAATGGATTACACTTTTTTAAAGCTCAATCTCTTCGTCACTGACAAGAGAAGATCAACTGCGGAGTGTTGGTGGCCAAATCACATCAGCCATATATCTTATTTGACGCAGAATTCAACGCCGATTCCGAATCTGCTTTCGATTTCTTCTATAGAGTACTCTGTCAAAAGTTATAAGCCGGCAAAGTTCTGGGATTTCGGACTCGAACTAGAAAGAACTTGCCTTGTATTCTAATCCACTGCCATTTGGCCACCATTGTCTCTGAGAAAGCTGCTTCTGAGTCTCTGAGATTCTCTAAGTCTCTGAGAAAGCTGCTTATAAACCCAGGGTGTTTTAAAATCTCATACAAAACTTTGCCAGCTTATAACTTTTGACAAAGTGCTCTATAGCAAAAATCGAAAGCATATTCGGAATCGGCGTTGAATTTTGCGTCAAATCATATATATGGCTGATGTCATTTGCCATTCCCCTTTGAATTCTTCCCAATCGCTCACCTTTCCCTCGCGTCTTCCCTTCCCGGTGAGGTTTTCCATTGGGTGGATGGTGTTGTCCCGTATCCACTTTCCCTTCCACAATCACCGCCAGATAAACGAGATCGAGTCTCGCCCGTTTCATCCCATCTATAATAGAGAAATTGTCAGTTTTATTGCCTTAAAAGTCTAGCTTAAAAGTTTTCTTAACACATTCGGGCAGTGGGACATTTGCGCACCTTTTTTTCCGCACCTTGCCCATTAGCGCACCTTTTTTCGCGTTTTAAAAAAGCTCTAAAAAGCTAATATTAACCAATTTCTATTCCAAAAGTTGTTTTTCTAGGTAATTTTAGGGCGTAGAATCAAAATTTTGGCATATCAGAGCTTGTGGAACCAATTTGAAAGACAAAACGGCTAGATCAAATTACAGAAAATTGTCGATTTGTATCTCTTGTCGATCTCTTTGTATAACTCGGTCCGTTTGTTTCCACAAGCTCTGATGTGACAAAATTTCGATTCTACGCCCTAAAATTACCTAGAAAAACAACATTTGGAATAGAAATAGGTTAATATTAGCTTTTTAGAGCTTTTTTAAAACGCGAAAAAGGTGCGCTAATGGGCAAGGTGCGGAAAAAAAGGTGCGCAAATGTCCGGGTGCGCAAAAAAAGGTCGCATTTGTCCCACTCCCCACATTCGCGATAATTAGAGGGCCAAAACGCTATAATTTGCCTTTTAATGAACGAATTGTTTTGTAAATTTGCACCCAGGAGTTTTCGAGAGTGCGGAATTCGAATCCGTTATTAGATTTGCGAAAAAGTGATTCTAATTTTGAATATTTCATTCAGTTTAACTACTCAAGAGACGCAAGAGCTTTAACTACTCAAGAGACGACTCCACGTCAACGATAGTGTGTCAGAAGACACGCGATTACAAAAACATGAAGATTTTTACGTTCACGTAATCGCACGGCTTCTGGCACGCCTTCTGGCACGCCTCTAGAGATCTACAGAACTTTCAACTCAATTCCGCTCTTTTTTCTCTATTTTGGTTTAATTCCCGAAGTTCCGAAGCTTTTCGAGAGTTTTTCGATGTCTGTATTGACTCCAAAATTAAAGTTGCCTAAAAACAAATAACAAAATCGGATTCCTCGCCCCAGAAAACCCCTAAGTACAAATTTTGAGCAGAAAGTTGAAAAAAACATGAATTGTCGCAAATGTGTTCTTTTTTTTTTTGAAACAAAAGCTAGTATATTGCAAAAAAAATTGTTTTACATTTTATCATGATAATTTTCCAAACCTTTTCATCATTTGTGGGCTCTCATTGGGTAAAATGACCAACTCATTGTCTAAGGATGAGTCACTGCAACCAGGCGAGTGAAATTTCCTCAAAACCTCTGTGGGAATCACTGAAATCACTGAAATTAGTAAGCTGTTTCAATGTTTAAATCTAAAACAAATCTAATATAAAAATAGAAATTGAATCTCTCTTACCATATTCAGGTGGTTTTGATTGTGTTGGTGGGGGTGGAGGTGGCCGAGAGGATGGTGGGGGTCGTCTCGATGATATCCGATCACTATTTTGCCAATCTTGCCGACTCAACTAGAAACAATATTCTTTAATATTCTTGATTCAAATTTTTAAGTCGAGCAGGTTGCTTTTAGTGTAAAATCTATCTCGTTTGCACTTTTCCAGCTATCCGGATTCTTTCCAGCTCAGGGTTGGGCGGAATCCAGATCCAGATCCGAATCCAGATCCAGATCCGAATCCAGATCCGAATCCAGATCCAGATCTGAATCCAGATCAAGATCCAGATCCAGATCCAGATCCGAATCCAGATCTAGATCCGAATCCAGATCCCTACGCAAGAATACAAAGAACCGCCGCTACGCGACACTACTTAACGCCTACACAACGGTACTATGAACTGGCTATTAGAGCGCCGCGTAGCCGCCGTAAGATTCTTTGTATTCTTGCGAGATCCGGATCTGAATCCGCTCAACCCTGCTTTGAAATCGGATCCAGTTCCGGGTCCGGACTCTCTATAATGCTATTTCGTTCCGAATCTCTAAATTCAATCGTACAAACTGTAATCAATGTCACGGCCTGAGTCTGAGCCTAAGCCTAAGCCTGACCGAGATATGAGAATCACCGGAAAACCCCACAGCCAAATAGACTCAATCTTCGCGAAGACTGAGTCTAAGCCTAAGCCTGAGCCAGACTCGATTTTTCACTCACCAAAGGACTTGGGGCAAAGCTAGCGAAACGTGACGGAATTTCCTCGTAATGCCTTCCCAATGTATGATAGGCGGCAGCGGGTGAATCGCCTGGATGATTTAAACGAATCGTTGTCGCCGATTGTCTCAATGGACATTCGCCCGTTCGATACGATCTAAATAAGAAAAAATTTTAAAGCTTTTCATATTTTCTTTACAATTTTTAACTCTTAAAGTGACTTAAAAATGATTTAATAAATCGATTTCTTTTTTCTGCACTTTTCATCAAAATTTAGTATTTATTAGCTAAAGGTATTTATTAGCTAGCACGTGTGGCTGACTGGTTAAGTGTTTATCTTAATCGGAAGGTCGAGGGTTCGAACCCCACATGCGACATGGTCACCCCCTTCGGATTTCCTTTCCCTTCGGGTTGAGAGGTTTTCTGGAGGGCAGTCTGGTGGTTGTGGCCCCAGTTCTTTAAAGTGACAAGCCACTCCTTCATCGTCATCTTCCCTTCACCACCAAAAAAGCTATTTAGTTCCCCATTGAGCTTAGGGTTAGGGAGCCGTCTGTCATGACGTGGGTTAAGTTAAGATATAGCCTAGTATTGTGTGTGTCGTTGTATTGTGATTGATATATTTCGTGTATGCGATAAATTCACCACTGGTAGCCCCAGTCGGTATTTTTTAAAGGAAATGGGGCGGAAAGAGTTTAGGGGACAACTTTATGTCTGTTTTCTTAAGGTTTTAAGTTTTATAATTAATTTGCTATTTCATTTCTTATTGTTAGTGTGTTTCTCTCAAACCAAAAGTGTAGTTAGGAAAATCTCGAGAAAAAATGATTTTCTAAAAAGAAATTAGACGAGAAGGTAAATCCGAATCTGCTTTCGATTTTTGCTATAGAGTATTTCCGGTGATTTTTTTTTTTTTTGCTTAATTGCTTACTTATCATTTGATGAGAAATTACAAGGTTCATTGAATGATACTAAAATCTGGCTGAGCGAATTTAAACTAACACTTTGACGACGGTGCTTTTCTCAATGCATTTTAGAAAACGCATTAAAGTAAAGGAACTCAAGATTTACCCATTTCCTGTAGATGGAAAGAGTGATTCTTTGTGGCGAAATGACACCAAATGGGGACAAGAAATGAGCGATTACTGTACGAGAATCGAACGATCAGAAAAAGGAAAAAGAATCGAACGGATTAGGTCAAGATTTTCTAATTTTCGATTGATTGATCACCTCTTTTCTCTTCAAAAAAAGTTCTTAATGCATTGGTAATAGATGATAAGCAATACTGGTAATAGATGATAAGCAATGCTAGGAATAGATGATAAGCAATGCTGGTAATAGATGCTAAGCATGGCTGGTAATAGATGCTAAGCAATGCTGGTAATAGATGATAAGCAACTTTTCATCGGATAGCTTTGTGTAATTTGTTGATTAGATTAGAGTTTATGTTTGATTTCAATATTAGCACTGAACCTTATCGTGTTTGGAGTTGGGTTCTTGTGGAAAACCATTGAGCCAGCATTCCGCGCGTCACCGTACATCAGAATGCCAAGTGATCCCTAAAAATTTTTGAAATATAATCCTTTGAAATATCATTTTCAATGAGCAAACGAATTTCTACTTACATGAACAGAATTTGGAGTTGTTTTCATTGAATTGTAGCTCCAAGTGTTGTCAGGAGCGGTGAGAATGTGATCGGCTGACGGGGTTTTCTTCTTTCTTGATGTGCTCTGGAGGGATTTTCTGAAAGTTCTTGATTTTTTTACAGATTTCAAAGAAGTTTGGGGTTTTTTTTTCATTTCTATATATTGTTTCTCTTATTACACGTCTTTTTTTAGGCGCTTTGCTTCTCTGATGTGGCTCAATACGCGGAAAAACAGGCAATTGTGTTCTTTCAAGATCGTGGGATCATAAAGCGATGGACTCGCTCATTCGATGACTCTCATTTCAAAGAAAAAGGACTGTGGGAATGCAAAGAATCTCATTTCAAAGAATCTGTGGGAATGCACAAACTATTGAATCCTTTCTTAAATTCTAGTGTAAAATTGTCGTGTACCATTGAATTCTTTCTAAAATTGCCTCCTTTCTGTTGCCTTCTGTTCATCCAAGACACTTGCATTGCTAACTTTATTATCGTTCCCAATCGATTGTTGAGAGGAAACGAGCCGTGTGAATCTCATTTCATTCTTTGCACTTCCTTGGCCCAAATTTCGACCAAATTAGTCGAAATTTGGCTTGTCTATTGAATTGTGTCACAAAATGAAACGCGAAAGTTTTGGGATGACAAAGAAAGTACACTTTTTGTTTCAAAATAAATACGGAATAATAAAGTAAAGAAGAACAATAAAGTTAATAAAGTAAAGAAGTTAATGGCAAAGAATTTGGAACTAAGGGGGAATTGGACCATCGATCTTCTGCTAAATACTCTCCCATTGAGCTATCGGCACCTTGTTTGGTCAAGAAGAAATAGGAAACACAAAGAAGAAAGAGAGGGAAATACTTTTTAAGTCTTTAAGGCCAAAAATGCATTGAAAACTAAAGACAGAACGGGATTTTTTAGCCTTGATTTGGCTCTTGATTTGGTCAAGTTTTGAATGCAAGTTTTAAAGTTTTGACTAATTTGAAAACTAGGCAGCTCACCTAGCTTGTCTAGCTGGCCTAGCTTGTCTAGTTGACCTAGCTTGTCTAGCTGACTTAGCTTGTCAGCTGCTTGTCTAGCTCACCTAGCTTGTCAACTGCTTGCCTAGCTGACTTAGCTTGCCAGCTGCTTGTCTAGCTCACCTATGCCAGCTGCTTGTCTAGCTCACCTGGCTTGCCAGCTGTCGATGACAGCTATTACCAATAATCTCAAGATTCTCTTTTAAATTTGAAATGTTCGAGTTCGAGAAATAAGTTCGAGAAATTCGAGAGTGAACGAGAAATTCATTGTGTCATCACCAGCCATTTGGCCTTCACATTTCTTATTCCCCTCAATGATCCCTGTCATCCATTCAGCTCATTAGCACAACGACGAGAAGTAGCGGAAAGCCAAGAAGGAATTGGTTTCCTCTAACTATCGATGAGAATTTGGGGGGAATGAAGCACAAGAGAGTCTCTCTCTTTTCATGTCAAAACCATTTCCCCTTTGCTCTCTTTTCTTTTCTTCGTTAGTGACCCCAATGACTTGGCAATGACTGACAGAATTGCTCAAGATGGTGAGTCATTTATGGAGATGTCGTGTGTTTTCAAAGTTCAGAAATTTTATATAAACAATCTGGGGAAAGCTGTCTTACACACTGTAGATTTAGAAAGCGCAAACGTCACTAAAGCTTTAATCGGGTTTAGAATCTGCCTTGATCTGAATTACTGTCTTGATTAGCAGTATTGTTTAGCTTTATTGTTATTGTACTGACTTGAAAGCAGCATTGTTCATCAAAATTGTACCAAATCTTCTTGAAAACAATTAAATCTTAAAGCTTAAGCTAAAACAAAGCTAATTTGACGTTTATGAAAAGCTAATGGAAAGAAAATCCAGTCAGAAAATGCATTTTAGAATCAATCAATCAACAATCGAAAGTTTATCAGCTTCTTCTCGGAAATTCGGGTCTTTTCATTGGGAAAAGCTATCTGCAAAACCCAAAACCAATTCGAATCTCTTGAGATCTCTATCATTATCATTTGAAAGCCATCGACTTCATTCAAAGCTATCGACTTGTCGAGTAATCAAATCTTCACAAGCTAAATCCGTAAAGGGAAAGGTTTTCGGCGTCACTATGCCCAAATTTTTGGGATCAATTCTTGCCTCAAATTTGGCTGTATTTCTCTACAAATTCCAGCCAAGTTCAGCTGGATCTGGCCGGTCAAAAATTTCAAAAGACCGGGAAGAATCATTTATCTTTTCTTTTCCACATTTTAACATTCATATTTTGTCACATAAGGAGCACATGGTCTCATTATATTCTTTTCTCTCTTCTGAAAGAATGTGAGACGAGACTCAACTCGTGTTAGAAATGTGAAAGACAACAAAGGAGAATAAAAAGACTTCTTTTCTCCTCTCATCTCTTTCACTTGATGAAACATTCTCTTTTCTTTTTACCCACCACATGTCACCCAGAAATACTCCAACGAAAAGGCAACAATTCGCCTCATTCACTGAATTTTCAATGCCTGGTTTTCATAGCTGAGATGGGAAAAGTTAAGAAATTTTGGGTTTTATTTAAGTAAAAAATTCTATTCACTATTACTAGGCAATATTAGAATTGCTTGTCCTAAAGCAATTCTAGCAATTCTAGCAATTCTAGCTTGTCCTAAAGCAATTCTAGCAATTCTAGCTTATCCTAAAGCAATTCTAGCAACTAAAGTTTCAATTTTCTATGAGATTGATTCTTTTGAAAAACCTTCCCAGCTTCCCAGCATCTTGAAATCCTTAAAATTACCTTAAAAACCCTTTTCCCTCATCAATCTCATCTCATAAATCAAACTTAGATGACAGATTTCCAAAAAATTGAGCTCACCAAAGTGAGTGAGCGTTTCGATGGGTCGTTTTTGATTGCCTTTCTTGAATTTTTGAATTCTCATGTAGAATTTCAAAATGAGATTCAAATGTAGCCAAGAATTTCACTCACCTCCTGAATTTAATCGCAACAATTGTGATGAGAATGAATAGCAAAAGAACGGTCATCAAAGCACAAACGAATATCGGCACTCTCACATCGTTGCCTTTATTCTCAAGGGTTTTCGGATCGTTTCTAAAAGATATTCTTTCAAGCTTCAGAGAATCGTTTAGAGAATCAAAACCTTTCTCTGATTGTAGCCGTCTCGTCGCTGATCGAGATAAACGGATCCCATGTGCAGTCATCTGACTAAATTTTTTCGTAATTTCTTTTTAAATCCATGATGCCTTTGCAAAAATGTTTAATTTTCAATAAGACAAAAAGTTTGGTGAGAGTGGGATTCGAAAGCTTGCAAGGGAAAGCTTGCAACAGGTTTGGTAGTTTAGCAGACTATCCACTAGACTACTTGAACTCGAGTTAGACTACTCAGACTCGTGGGGAAAGAATGTAAAAGGTTTGGTAGTTTAGACTATCCACTAGACCACCAAGGTAGTTGCTTGGTCAGCTTGTGGCGGCGTTTTAAAGAGCCTGAAAGTTTCAAAGTTTCAAACTGACGCTTACTTAACTCCCTCTGGAGCTCGGGAAAACAAGTGTGCTGTGGTGTAATGATTAGCACAGTTGCCCGGTAAGCGAAAGGTCGCTTGTTCGAGTCTTGGCAGCGCACAATTTTTGTTCTGATCAATTTTTTCGAAACTTCAAAACTATTTTTAGAAATAAATAACCATACTTTTCACTGAGAATCTCAGTTTTCACTACAATTATCCCTTAAACAAATTTCCCCGATTCTGTCACATAAATTGAGTTGGCGGGTTTGATTGTGAATCTCTTTGCAATATGGGAATGTTTTGAGATGTTGTCGAGAATCCCGGTCAGATCTTGAGAGAAAACGAGATGAGAAAACGGGGAGATTCACAAGAAATTGACAGGGAAATGATTGAAGAGAAGAATGGAAAAGGAAGAAGAGGAAGAAAGAAAGAAAGGAAGAAAGGAAGAAGAAAGAGAAAGAGAAAGAGAAAGAGAAAGAGAAAAGGTTCATGGATACCCCTAAACCCTTCATAAATGCTTCCTTTTCTTTCCTTTTGGCCTTGAATCTTTTCAGAAAAATGGGGGGTAAAGGAGTGGTCCCTTATTGACTGTTTAAAGCCTCATACCCCGGTAATTTGGTTCAATAAACACTGCCCCCAAGGTCGAATGGTTAGCAGTCTTGTATCCAAGCAGTCTTGTATCCAAGTCAAGAGCTCACGGGTTCAATCCCAGCGGCTAGCGAATTTCCTTACTTCATTTCATCTATTTATTGCACTTGTACTTTTTGAATGTCACGACTTTCGATTCCATTTTTCCTATAGAAACTAAATAATATCCAGTATCAGGAAAACGAAGAAGACAGCCGTTAGAAAATCGAATTTCCCCCAAGGGACCCTCTCCTCTTTTCCCTTTATGCACCAAATCCTTGGTGAAAATTTGTGAAGAAAAGCGTCTAACAAGCAAGTTGAGAAAGGATTGGGAAAAGAAAGAAATCAAGAAAGAATTCAAGAAAGAATTCAAGAGAGAGAACCCTTTTGGGACATCACTTTTCAAGAATAGTAGCGATTTGTCAACATTTCACTCCTTTTTCCCTCTCAACATTGCTTTTGTTGAATGGACGGAATTCAATTTGCGACTTTTGGGAAGTTAACGGGAAATTGGAGAGATTTTGAAAGAAATAACGGATATATTTAATGCTGAAAGCTGAAATTTCTCTATAGAAGGCCTAGAGAGATTTTGGAGTAAATCTCATGTTCATCAAAAAGATTTACCGAGCAACTTGATATGTTTTTGATTATAAAATAGTCTATATTTGGGTTTAAAAACGGCCATCAATGACTAGTAAGGCATAAGGCTATATCCATATTAAAAATGGCTATCGATTACTAGTAAGGCATAAGGCAATGGGATGTCTCGGTGTCACTCATTGGTAGAGCGAAGCGAGAGATCGCGGGTTCGAATCCCGGCGCTGATCCCGGCGCTGATCCCGGCGCTGATCATGTTTTGCATTCCCAGCCGAACCCATAAAAAGGATTGGCATGTTATAGATGAAATAAAAGCCGAACACAAAGACGATTAACTGCATCGATTCGATTAACACAAAGACGATTAACTTCAAATTTTAGCAATGAGAATATATAGCAATATAGCAATATAGCAATATAGCAATATAGCAATATAGCAATATAGCAATATAGCAAAACTTACGCCTTGAAAAAGCTCATCAGAAATGAGATGCCAGATGAGAGTCGGATCGGGCGGAAGACCGATGTCAAAAATTGGCGGAGCAGGCACACATTCACACATTTCTAGCTTTCTAGCTCATTTTTTTGATTCTGAAAGTTTGACGTTTTGCAGATAAGCTTTAAAAGAAATTGAATAGAAAACCGAGCTAATCGGTGGAAAACAAAAATTGATAATGAAGATGAAGAGAATAATAGCATATCGAAAAGAATATCAATATTAAATGAAAACAGAGAGTTGGCTGAGTACCCTTTATCTCCCTCATTTGCACCATTTGCATCAATGTGGGAAAGGCTAAGTTCCGTAGGCTAATTTCCGCCATTTTATTTGCGCAACTGGGTCACTGGGTCGTTTGCGCCTGGGTTTGCGCCTGGGTTTGCGCCTGGGTTTGCGCCTGGGTTTGCGCCTGGGTTTGCGCCTGGGTTTGCGCCTGGGTTTGCGCCTGGGTTTGCGCCTGGGTTTGCGCCTGGGTTTGCGCCTGGGTTTGCGCCTGGGTTTGCGCCTGGGTTTGCGCCTGGGTTTGCGCCTGGGTTTGCGCCTGGGTTTGCGCCTGGGTTTGCGCCTGGGTTTGCGCCTGGGTTTGCGCCTGGGTTTGCGCCTGGGTTTGCAACTGGATCGTTTGCGCAACTCACCATAACTTTTTTCTAAGCAAACCAATCTTTATGATTTTTGTGTCATTTTGTAGATCTCAAAAAGTGTAACAAAATGACACCAAAATCATAAAGATTGGCCGATTTCGAAGAAAGTTATGGCGAGTTAGGCTATTAGACTGAGGGTCGCTGGTTCGACTTCCACCGGTGACAATATTTTTCAAAAATTTTTTGCTAAGATTCTGAAAATGCGTGTCTAGGGGTTATTTTTGACGCTGATCACGAAACACATGTTTTTAGCCTAGGTTTCTGCACGGAAAACTAACGAAACGTGAAAACAGCCATTTTTTGGCTCTGCCGCCCTTTACTAAAATAGCTGTAAAAACTTTTAGAAAAGAGATATCTCAAAATGGTTTTTACCAATCGATCCGTCTTGAATTCAGCTTTAAGATGAGCTATAAAACGTCAAAATTGGACAAATTTAAAGTACTCTCCCAAAAAATCGGAAAGAACTTTTCCACCAACCCAATAGTTGCGCAAAAGAGCTAGTTGCGCAAATGATCCAGTTGCGCAAAAAATTTGGCGCAAAGTAGCCTATCCCGGGAAAGGGTTAGGATTGTTGAAATTGGGCAATTAATTGTTGAAATAAGACAATAACAAAATGCTGTCCATCTGGCAGAAAGTGAATTTCTTGAATGACAAAATGGTGGATTGTCGGATTTATTGGTTTGTGATTGGTGGAAAGTTGTCAATCAACGATAAAAAGTGACAAGTAAACGAGTGAACGAGAATGAAAAGAAATGAAAGAGAAGAAAGAGAAATTGGGAGAACAAATTTTGAGGGACATGTGTTCAAGGAGGGGGAAAGGGCAAGAATGGTAGACAGAGAGATGGCTGAGTACCCTTTATTTCCCTCATTTGCACCAAGGCATCAATGTGGGGAAGGGTTAGGATAGGGGAATTAACAAAGAAAGGGAAAAAGTAACACAATTGAAACACTTTGAGAATGAAATTTCAAAGCTTCTTTCTTTTTTTCTATCTTCCCTCTTTCTCTTGACAAATCAAGGTACTGAATAGCTCAGTGGTTAGAGTAGGAAAGCCCGGAAAGCAAGAGCAAGCAGGAAAGCATTCAATCCATCTTCGAACATCTATATCTTTGCCAATTCCACTTCTTTAGTCTGCCAATTTCACAGAAGTATCTTTGAATATCAAAATTGTGGAATAGCTCTTGTCAGCCTTGTCTTTGCCAGCCCATTGTCTCTATCAATTCTTAATAGTTTTAAAAGAAATGAATAACTTAAAACACTTGTAAACATTAAAACATTAAATACTAAAAAACGTTAAACATTAAAAAAAATACTTTTTGGAAACGTACCCAATGGATTTCGGGAGCTCTGATGAATCCCGAAGGGGAGGAAGAGTGAAGAGAAAGGAAAAGGGGCGGGATTTCCCTTCAACACATTCTCTTTCTCATGCAATAGTGTTATATGCTAATTTGAAACATAGAATAAAGTACATTTGGCTTTTTTGGGTAAAAGATTATCTATTTGAACTGTTTGAATCTAGTGAATAGTGAATAGTCACCAGAAACTTCCAGTCGCCATTGTTACTGTATCTTGCTGGGACTTGACAAGTATTGTTTTTCTAACACTCCCATAAATGCCAAAAAACTTTACTTCAAAGTACTTCAAAGTAAATTACTTTGGCATTTATGGGAGTGTTAGAAAAGGAATACTTGTCAAGTCTCAACACGATACAGTAACAATGGCGAGTGAAAGTTTTTAAACAGTAAGGTATAAGACCCTACCTTGACGGCGACGGAAAATGTGACGGTGTAGCTCATTGGTAGAGCTACGTGGTTGGGTGGTGGTCCGGTAGGCGAGATGTCGCGGGTTCGAATCCCGGCGCCGACTATATCTTACTCCAACAGGAACGGCTTGTTCAACTCAATCCATTATATAGCGCCTCCAAAAGTGATGAGTAATGAGATATGATCTGTCTAAAATGATCGGGACTTTTGAAAGTGATCTTTTTTAGGGCACGAGAGGATAGCTGGAGGCGATTTTCCGATGGACAACCGTTGACCTCTCAAAGAAAAAATCGAAAGATTGGAAAAGTGGAAAAGCAAAAGGGAAAAATGGAAAGTAAGGGTTGAAAGATTGAAAAAATAACGTATCAAATGGTACAAAAGAAGTGCACAAAGTTTGATTTGCTAATTTTACTCCTTAATTTCCATTTTTCCCTTTTGCTTTTCCACTTTTCCAATATTTCCATTTTTTTCTTTGAGAGGTCAACGGTTGTCCATCGGAAAATCGCTAATAACTTATCAAATGGTTCCAATGAAGTGCACAAAGTTTGATTTGCTAATACTAGTCATCCCAGAATACTTTGTCTGGTTGTAGTGGGCTTTCTATGCAATGAACCCAGTTAGTTTTAGTCTCTAGTTAGTTCTAGTTTGTTCTAGTTTGTCCTGGCATAGAAAACTCACATGAAACTTGCGAATATTTAGTCAAATTCATATAGAAAATATCGATTTTGTGCAAAAGAACAGTTCTCGAAGAATCGAAGGCGTTGAAGTGTCAAAAAAAAAGAAAAGAGGTAGATTAAACAATCAATCTTCTTCTCATTCTTTTCTTTATTCTTTTCTCGACGTTTTTCCCATAAGTAAGTCTCAAATCGATGATCTCTCATTGCGTGAATCGTTATGCAAAGTGGGCGATGACGCAATGAAAAATGAGAAAGGAAAAAGAAATGGAGAAAGCGATTGTTGATGGATCGGCTTTTGTATCGAATTGAGATCAAATTTTAGCTTAAAATTTAGCAAAATCATTCTCCTTATATTCCCAGCTGAACTATTGGGTTGGTGAATTAAAAACTGCGGGACTTTGAACTAAAATTTATTGAACATAAAACCATGAATTCATTCCAAATAATTATTATTGACGACTTCTGCCCATTTTACAGGCAATTTGCGGATTCCTCTTTCGTAGTAGGATTTTGGTTTGTGTGTGAGACAAGTGTGAGACTTAAAAATGGAGAACTGGAGATGTCCCAGTTTGAGCATTTGAGCACTTTCTTCAAAAGAAACCCATTTTGGTGTCAATAGAAAAGTTGTAGAGAATCAAAAATGAAGCTTATAGCCAAATTTCCAAAAAGATACACTTAGTAGTTTCGCTTAAAAGGCAAGTTTTGTGAAAATTCGTAAATTTCTCATTTCTTGAAAACCAGCTTTTGAATTGTTCTGAAAATTTGGATATAAGCTTGATTTTTGATTCTCTACAACTTTTCCATTGACACCAAAATGGGTTTCTTTTGAAGAAAGTGCCCAAACTGTCACATATGACAATAGCCCGCAGTTTTCAATTCACCAACCCAATAGTTTCAGCTCATTTTCGGATCATTTCACGCGTCGATCTCAATCGACAATATTGAAAGGTTTGAGTGAAAGAATGAGAAGAAAAGGAATTGAGAATGGCCCTTCACAGTTCATTCTTCAATCCCTTCTTTTCATTCCTTCAATTTCATTCTTTCTTTTCCTCAATGATCCCCAATGGATTGCCCCCATTCAGAGGCTATTCTCATCCATCTTTTTCCTCTCGACATACTTTCCGAGCTCGTTTCGAACTTGTAATTGTCAACAACAATTTGCTGACTTATTGAACTTTAAAGTACGTGAGTTTATTCGTAAAAACAATGATTTTGGAGATGAAAAAAGGAGAAAAAGGACAAATTTAGGTGACAATCTCATCTTTTGAGATGATAAAGGAGTCGAAATGTTAGAAATCTCACAAAAATCGAATCCCTTTAGATCAATCATATAAAGTTTTTTTTGATTAGATTAAACAGCTGAATTTATTCAGTAGCATTTCTCAAATCTTCATTCAATACTGGGGTACAATCTGCGGAATGCAATAAATGATTGTAAATGATTGTTTCTTTTCCCCATTGAGGGCAATAATTTAAGCCAGATGAGGCCAAAATTAGAGAGAAATTTGAATCCTTTATGCATTTTTGAAAATCAAAATGAATTCCTCGAGAGAAAAGAAATGAAATGAATTCCTCCAGGATAATTGAATCGAAGAAAAACTGGTGAAACAGATGAAACAGATGGTTACAAATAAATGTGTTAATCTGACAATGAGCCGCAAATAACTTTCACACACTCAATTATCGCTTAGTCTATAGGAGAAAAGTGTGTCAAAATGACGGGGTAATGGAAGTCCTTTTTAGCATTATTAAATGCAAATCGAATCTACAATAATATTAATGTGTATAAGGATAAGTTTGTTAGAATTAAAATACAGCCAACCTCTGGCTTTTCTTGGAAACTTGATTAACTCAAAAAAATCGCCAAATCATAGCTAAATCATAGCCAAATTATGACCAAAAAAGCTGAAATTTTTAAACTAAACTGAATATAATTGTGTAGTTAAAAGCAAAAATAGTACCCGGATCGTGTAGGCTGTAGATAGGC